TTATAGGAGTAGTAACTAACCTAACTTTAATACTAGTTACGTAAGTACGTTAAACCTAACGTTATAACTAATTTTATTAGTTAATATACAATTATTATTGCATATCACAATAAAATTGTTATAGAGAGTACATATACAAATACATTTTCCAGAGGTTTCTCCAGGTTTTCACATTTTTCTCAATATGTCCTCGAACCACGTTGGCAATTTTCAACTTGGCTTCCATCTTTTTTTTCTTTTCTTTTTCCAAACAACTGGTCAATTTCCTCCTATTTATTTAAAGTTTATTCCACAGCTACAGTAACATGACTCCTCCTTAGTTCAAAAACCAACAAACTGCCATATCTACTAAATAATATTTGTCACATTTCATTTTCTTTGCAAATACAACATTAATTACACGATTAGTTTTCAGTAAGTCAAAAGATCAGACAGTATTCTCACTTTCCATTTGGCTTATCTTTATAAATGTAGCACAGCACTTCGTTTGGCTTATTTGATTTTGTTAGTAACATTAAAAACAAACACAATATTAATTACACGATTAGTCTTCGGTTAGTCAAAAGAGCAAACAGTATTTTCACTTTCCATCTGGCTTATTTTTATAAACGTAGCACAGCACTTCGCTTGGTTAATTTGAATTTGTTAGTAATATTAACAACAAACACAACATTCAGAGGCAAGGCACCACGTGTGCAAGCTTGTCTAAACGTCAAATGTTTTATATATAATGCTACTTTTGTTTTTCATTAAGGGCTTTGAAACACTTAATGGTGAAATTATGTCTTTTATATGGATTAACAGTTTTCATCTGACCTATATTCAGGTTGTTTTACCGTTGTATGGTTTCGCTAATTATCGACACGATAAGTCTCTTCTATAGGTGAAATGTGATGTACGAGATACAGTTCAGAACATCTCATACTGACGAAGTGCTACTAAACGATTTTCTATTTCGTTTAGGCCAATAAAACTGCGGCTTAGTTAATAAATAGATATTTCTTAAAGCTTACATAAACTCATACGAAAACTCTCGAAAGAGAGGTCGAACTTGAGAAACTGAATGATGTAGTTCAGAAACTATTTGTGGAACTTAATGCAACAATGTGCTTTGAATTCAAAATGGACAGAAACAGCAAAAAGTAGTTGTAAAGGAGTGGTGACGAAAACAACCACAGCCTGATTTATCACAAAATGATGCACCACAAACTGTACTCTAGTCATCACGTTTTAACTAAAATCCTTCACACTTTGTTTTATATGATAGATAACGCATACATTTTATAGGACGAGTTATCCATTTGTGGCGTATTTCGCTTAAGAAAAGCAACAAAACTTTTTCCACCCTCTTTTTTTCTCATTCTTGGATTTAACGCTAAGCATGGCCCTGGTTTGCCATGAAACACTTGAAGGGTTTGGGAACACGGGTTTCGGAAAAACTGACTTGCCTTTGGACTTTGGCCAACTTCTAGTCCCATAATCCGGTCTGTGTTTTGAAGCGCTGTCAGGATCGCTGTGTCAAACACTTCTTTGAGGTTTTTCTGAGTTAAGGCAGAACACTCGATATACCCAACTGACGTCATTCGTTGGGAAAGTTGACGAGCTTCCTGTTCGGTCACTGGTTGTTCGTCGTATTTGGCGAGTTCGATCAACACCTTTACGTCTGTTCTTAGATCACATTGTGTTCCTACCAGGAGGACGGGAGCGGTTGGACAGTGTTTACGGATTTCGGGGAGCCATTTTTCTTTGATGTTGTGGAAGGAAGTTGGACAGACTACGCTAAAACACAATAAGAACACATTTGTGTTGGGGTAGCAGAGTGGCCGGAGAGAGTCGAAATCATCCTGAAATAAACAAGGAACATAATGTATACAGTAGTTAAAGTTTTATTTTTGTAAGTTTTAAGTAACAAAGTCTCTTAAACTCAAAATCTAATATTTATCGCCATACACTTTAAGGCATTTATTATAGTAATATAATTATCTGCTACACAAAAATGTATGCAGTGAATACAATGTGATACGAGGATAGAAGCAACGTTTTTCTTCTGAGGTCTAAACAAGCACTTTAACACCACAGAGTTTGAAATATAAACCATAAGATGAAAAAAAAACAAAAACTGAAAGAGTAGAGACTTTTTTTGTTTCTTTTTTTATATCCCACTTCATCGACAAATATCTTTACATGAGCTACAATTGGATGAATCTATGATCCAAAGATTAATGTCTTTGCTACACCCATCCACGCACTGGAATCCTAAAATCACCAACACACCTATTTTGATCAAACGCGTTTTATAAAGGTAAACAACAAGAATCCAACAAACTCGGTGTTTCCCTTCAGGCAACTAACAAATGGTAAACTGAACACACTCATCCAAAAATTGTCACACACACACACACTATTATTACAATAACACATTCATTCCAACGTTTCTAAATACTGATGTAACAGTTAAGCCACGCTTTCATCCAAACTCATTTTACTAGACACATTGTCGTGATAATCCCAATAGACACACATCAGATCTTTTCTACATACCTCAATAATAGTGTTTAACCCACACCATTATGATAAATACAGCACATTCATCTGGAAATGTTCGCCATCCGGATAACGCACACATCAATCTAAACATTTCCTCCACACCCACAGACACCGTTTTCAATAAGAAATTCTGCTTAAAAGTATATGATAAACCCAGCATGCACACATATCCCATGACTAGATATATATATATATGTAATGACACAGAGTATAGCAGAAATACGCCTTTTATACGTTGAATTGGAAATTATTTAAGCAACCAAGGGTATCGATGATAGTAAAAAGGATAATTACAATATACACACAAACTCCACAAATACACAAGCCTAAGCATAATTCATACATATCCACATGCATCTACATCATGCAACATAACACGTGTTGGTTTGAACGTCCAGATGTTCATACGTTCCTTAATACTGGGTCACGTGGACAAGTAATAATATGAGACACCATATGGGAAGTGGACCAGTAAATTCGTTATAGCTGCCTTCAGTATTTAGTGTGCACGAAGAACGCTTTAACAGGCTATAAACTAGCTTTAAGTACACTGGAAACCACATTTAGTGCAAAATGGACTATTTAACATTCACATCTAGTTTAACTACAAAACATCATGCTTCCACTTTGGTAGAAAAATTCAAAAGTCTAGTTAGAGATTTCCATGAAAAGTGAAGACAAACAGAAGCGTGTCTGGAGGCGGCCATTTATCATTTTTGAGACAATTATGGTAGAGAAGTACGTTCTAAAATTAGTACCAGAGAATGCTTAATCTAGACAAATCACTGGAATTACAAGTATAAAAAATAGACCTGGCATCCATAAATAAACAAAAACTTATCCATTGCATAATAGGCATAAATTCGAATCATTTCAAGTTTGCGTGAATATGCATACCTGATGAATACCATACGTAATTATTCTTAAAACCAACCTTTCCTATTAAAAGTTCTTTGTATTTGAATGCATAGTGTTTTAAATAATTATCAATTTTGAACGTAGACGGATTTTTTGAGATAGTAAGTGTCATAATAAAAATAGTTGCAAGTTAGTATAAAGAATCATCGGTGAAATATTTTATTTTTATATTGTTCTTACTCTATCAAAGTCATTAAAAAAGCTGTTATGCGATAGCAGAAATTACCAAGAAATCTAGCAAAGTATGATGACCCGAACACCAAGTAACTGGGGATATCTACGATATACACGAAGAATTTCCAGGAAATGACAAGTGATGCACTGATTGTATCTCTTAAAATCTTGTAAGTTGAGCTTCTAGGGTTTAACAAGCAGAAAGAAGAGCCTATTCGATAACAGTCGGTGTGCCATTATAACGAAACTCATCCAAGTTAAAGTATCTGAAACAGATCAATAACAGGAAAGTTTGTTATACTCTAATTATGACAGCAGGTCGTATGTGAAAATATAGGCTTACTCTTCTAGTTCAACATGGCGGATCATACATATCACACACGATTATATTAGTCTAATTAAGGAGGACGTTTGCTGTTTCAAATAAATGACATTACCGATATGCGTGGTTAATTATATTGTAACACGTGTACAACTAAGGTTAAGATGCACCAACTAACAGGAAGATATATTGATTGCATGTCTACTATAAAAACTTTGTGTTAAAGGTAAAGTTAATAACCACCATAAAATTTTAAACGATCATATTGCATTAAGGCACGTGTATGTGTTGATGACTTTAAAATGTATTAATTATGGACAGAATAACAGCATTGATTCCGTCGCGACTCTTAACGTAAAAACCGCGCGCAAATAAAATACAAAAGGAGGCAAAACAGCCCAGCATTAGGACGTGTAAGTTTTCAGAAACATGCTGATCAGTAGATAGTCCTCCACGTCGGGAGTTACTGCAGTGATTTTCTAGAAGTTCCTGCTTTTCCCTACAGTCGCTTGACAAGGTTATTGACGAGCGGCTGACAACAGATGAAAATACCAAAGAAACCCCGCAGTCACTCAGTAAAGTTGCAGTTTCTTGAGGATGTTAAAAATGATGTGGTAAAAACTACAATTGTCAAGTCTATTTACAATATTAAAACATCATATCATAAAAAGTAACACAACCCATACACTAACCCAATTGGTTATGAATTGGGTTTGGTTATCTGAATATGTTTTCATATTAAAACTATCAGTGAAGTCCTTGGTAATATATAGCACACGATGCCTTAGGAGAAGGGATCTTTGAATTTATATTTCTTGACGGGTTTTTCCATTTGCTTTGAAAAACATCAGGACTTTCTAACGCGCGTGTACATCCAGCTTGACGTAATAATCACTTAGATTAACTGCTTTGAACTCTGCCTAAACAAGTGTTTTATTTATTTAAAAAAACATAAAACATTAATAGCAACAGATTTCTTTTGTCGTATAAACATCCACTGTCCAGAAAATTAAGCTTACTCTGTTAAGTGAATTCGGTAAAAAATTGGAAAACGTGTAGTGTTGACATCCCATTATCTCATATAGAAGTTACAATCTGTAGACACGGTAAAAGACAACGTTTACACTCTGTAAACACGCTAAAAGACAACGTTTACACTCTGTAAACACGCTAAAAGACAACTTTTACACTCTGTAAACACGCTAAAAGACAACTTTCACACTCTGTAAACACGCGTAAAAGACAACGTTTACACTCTGTAAACACGCTAAAAGACAACTTTTACACTCTGTAAACACGCTAAAAGACAACTTTTACACTCTGTAAACACGCTAAAATGACAACTTTTACACTCCGGAGCACGTTAAATGACAACTTTTACACTCTGAAGCACGCTTAAAGACAACTTTTACACTTCACATGCTCAAGAGCAATAACAATTCCGTACATGATGATTAACTAACTTCAGCCTTGATATATAATAAACCGGTCCTTGTGAAGGCCATGGGCCGTAACCAAGTAATTTTTTTCTCCATTCGTTATAACTTGTTATCAAACAAACATAAGTATCGCTCGACTTTCCGTATCATGTGATCTAGTGTACATGTCTTTGACCGCCACAAATAACACACACACACATTAGATATCTGACACTGATTTTCAAGCGGAGTGCCCTAAATCTTCAATGTGGCCAAAGTCAACAAGAAAAAACTATATCACCTCAGCTTACAACGGGAGGATTATTTACACTTTGTATGATATAATACTGTAAGAAAAAAACTTGGGTGTACAAAAATGTTAGATTGAAAAAAAAAGGTAATTACAAAGCCATTTGTAAAGCTTGGAGTGTAAGTAAGTCTATATTAAAAAAAAAAAACTTTTCAAGTTTAAAATAGATAGAGGACTGTGCCCCAATGTTTTATTTGTCGTCCCTACAACAGATACATTTAACATGTCACTAACTAGAACCATGATATAATCATTCAAAATGCAAAAGTGTTATTTCTGCAGTAAAGGAAATCTTTAACATACAGCAGTGATATCCTTGAGAAGTTTACAGTTACGCAATTTCTGCTTCTGAGTAGTGAGGCGTAACCTCACGTGCCCCTGGACTTGTTTTACATAACAAAACTTAGGTATATTCATAATTATACTTAAGAGGCGTACAGCCCTGTTGTTCATCATAACAAGATACAATATTATATAACAATATATATGTATATATCTACACACACACCATAACTACACATTAAGTCATTATTAATTGTTTGTAATTCAAACTAAGATATCATTTTTAATCTACTCGTTTATTTTATTTTCCATATTTTGTCCCTAAAAATTTAAAACCACTGAAACACTGACAAGATAATCTTTAATATTTTTACAAAAACATTTCACCATTCGTAACCACATGTTACGTAAAAATGGTTTACCCAAGTTCATGCCAGAAAAGTGACAGCACAACGTGCAAAATAAGCAATCGCTTGAATCGACCTCAGACGACAAACAGTTTACATGTACTAGGAGGATTTACAGGTTATCTCCCGTTTTATTATGATAGTTTACACCAAATATACGTCATAATGTCAATAGATAAATAAACTTAACGAACAAATTTACATTTTGTATGTTTAGCATTGATATTCCTATGTGGCTTACATCATCCGTGTTTGTAGAATAAACAAGTACAACAAATTAATTTGTGTGCGTCCAGACAGTAAATTACGAGGTTTTACAAAAACCATGTGTGTGAGAGAGAGCAACTTATTATCAACGAGAATACGTAAGAACCAAGACGCCAAGTCATTCGTAACGATTTCAGAACGGTGCAATATAATGCCGTTACTATACGTGTTTACATCAGCATATTAACCAGCTCGAGGC